TTATATTTTTATAAATGGGGGTGGGTGTTACATTTTCCCCCACGTTCCCCAATCTGGATCGGCTTTATCCTTCTCCGACTTCACAGTTCGGCTTGGCTCCCACTTTTTTTCAACGTGATTTTTCACGCTTCTCCTGGAAGGTGAGTAAAGCTTTTGTTCGAGTGTTCACACCACCTCCTTCCTTTGGTTTGCCTTTGTTGCCACTATGCTAATAGGTTTTGTCCCGCTAGCTTCCTTCAATTTGTGTCAGCTACTGTTATGGTCTACTGTGGAAGAGTTTGGGGCTCTGTTTTGGGGTCTTGTTTTCATACGTTTTCATCCAGCTTTGGGGTTTTAGTTCTGTTGATTTGTGATGGTTGCAGAGGCTGTTTGTTTGGTAAGCGGGTTGACGGCGGAGGTAGGAAGCTGCTAGGGTTTACTTTGGTGTTTTTCCTGTTCAGGCCTCAAAACTATGTTTTGGGCTGTTAGGTTACTATAGAGGTTCATCTTTTTGTTTGTGTATTTCTTGTATTTGAGCCTTCTATAATGTAATATGTTGTGTTATAAATAAGGGTAAATATCAATTTACTACCCTCAAGTTTCGTGGTTTTCAACATTTGGTATATGAAGTTTTTTTTCGTCCTAGAGTCATACTTATAGTGTTAATTTTGGAACATTCTTATACATCTGTTAGTTAGACTGTTAAATCAACCGTTAACTGATGACGTGGCACCCATGTGAAAAATGACTAGGGCGCCGCGTGTCAATATGGGGTCCACGTGAATATTAAAAAAATTATAAATTATAAATTATAAAAAAAATTCTGGGCACCCACCCATTCCCCCTCATTTCCGACCTCATATCTCCCTTCTCTTCCCTGCACCCATCCTGGCCGCACACCTCACCTATTCCCCTCATTTTCCCTCAATTCTCTCCTCTGCACTCACCCTCCCTGCACACCCACTCACATTGCACACCCACCCATCCGCCCTCTCTCTCTCTCTCTCCAACCCTATGAGACCCGAGTGACCCTTTACTCTGCCACCATGCTTCCAAAACCATTCGATTCCATCACTTTATCTACATTTCCAACTTCACTCTCTGTACCAACCCTAGCCCTATCATCCTCAGATCTTCCGCCAACCTTACTTCCCGAATCAAGCTTCATTGGCAAAACCTAGCTCCATCTTTACCTACGCGCCTTAGGAAACCGGAGCTCTAGCTTCCTCAGCCTCTCCAGTGGCATCCGATTTTCCATCCAATCCAAAATCGCTGTTCATCATAGCGATCTCTTTCTCCAAACCAGCTGCGATTTGAATCATTTGAAAGCTCGACGAACGGAGTTGGCGGGTCCCAATAAGGCGGCATACCTTTCTATTGCCTCATGTTGAAGATTTGAAGATGAAAATTTTTCCGGGAAAGCGCGAGAAAGTGTGGGATGTAAGGGATACAAATAAAACCTAGGAGAGAGAAAGGGGGAAGCAGAGGGTATTTGGATGGTAAGAAATTTTGGGGGGAAATTTGTGTTTTTTTATGTGGTTTGATTTTAGGTGGGTGGGTGTGCGAGGTGGGTGGGTGCAGAGGAGAGAATGGAGGGAGAATAAGGGGAATGAGTGGGTGTGCGGGGACGATGGGTGCATGGAAGAGAAGGGAGGGAGAAGAAGGGAGAGGGAGGGGGGGAAGGAGAATGGGTGGGTGCCTAGATTTTTTTTTTAATTTTAAATTTTTTAATATTCACGTGGGCGTTATATTGACACGTGGCGCCCAGTCATTGTCTACATGGTGCCACGTCATCAGTTAACTGCTGATTTAATAGTTAAACTAACAGATGTAGGAGACTGTCCCAAAATTAACACTTTAGGTATGACTCTGAGACGAAAAAAACTTCATATACCAAATGTTGAAAACCACGAAACTTGAGAGTAGTAAACTGATATTTACCCAATAAATAAAGTAAGCCTTTGTCCAAAAAAAAAAAAAAGAAGAAGAAGAAGAAATTGCACTGTACAAATGAACAGTGACTTGGGGTGGATTTTGAGTTATTTACAAAATTGCCACCACCCTTTCCGTTTCAGATTGAAAATTTTGATTTATTTACGAAATTGCCACCGCTTCTCTCGTGCACGTGTCGACGATCGTAGAAAGGGTGGGGGATGAAAACGCACTTCGTTTTTCATTTGCTTCCTGAAACCCGAAGCTCTGATTGCATCCTTAGGAGAGTTGGGGGTTGGGGTTTCGTCCATCTCAAACAGTTTGGTTGACAGGGTGGGTGGGCTTGCAGATGGGTGACAGAGAGTGGGTATTCATATCTTCCTTGTTTCTTTTCTCTTTCTATGTGCAAATCTATGCTTGCTCACTGATTCATTTAAAAAAAATGATTCTTTTAAATTTTGAATTGCTATCATTTTGATTTTTTCGTTGTTGTATTTTAATCGCAGAGGATGAGCATGATGCTGTGTGGTTTTGGCTGGAGAAAGGGAAGCCACGTGAATGCATGTTTATCCACATCTGATACTTGACAGTTTCACAACCAAGGTATTATATCTCAATTAAATATTTCAGCATCTTGATTGCTTACTTTACTCCGTACATTATGCCAAGATTGATCAGACCCCATTGATCCAATTAGAGATAGTTTATAACGGTTCAGGGATGAGGATGATTGATTATAGTTGATAACCTACCTTGATTGTGATATAATTCTCTCTCTCTATCTCTCTCTCTTTCTCTCTTTTTCTCTCTCCATCCCTGATTAATGCTTATTAATTATGATCCATCCACTCCTGCTACGTCTTAATCTTATGCACACTGATATCACTGCATCAGCACATCTTTATGAGTTGGCGTGCGTAGTTACTGTTCTATTGAATATGATTTTCTTTTCTTGATTGTTCATAGTTGGGTGAAAGGGCAGCAAATATTTTAAAGCATCTCTTTCCAGTGCTAAAGCAGGATACGAAATGGATAATAACTTTCGCCAATCGATCTGACTACATTTCGTTCAAGTTGGTTTGTTGTCACATCTCTATAAGGATTGTTGTTGATATATGATATATCAACAATGATTTTCACGTTTCCCATAAATGCTACTATATGTAGATGTGGTGAATGCGGATCGGGCTTTCTTAAATGGTACCAAGTCGGCCTACTTTTATTTGGTTAGAACATATATTATGCACCTGTTTTATTTGGTCATTAGATATGAATAACTGTTTTCCTTTGTGTTTCCATTTCCATTAACAATTTGAGAACATATATCTTTTGCTTTGACAACCCCTGTATATCATCTGCGAATGCAATAAAAATTCAATGGTATGACAAGCAAAAAAATAATGTTCACCATGTAAGCCTTAATTTTCATCTATTTTATGCTTTCTAATTTTTTTTACAAAATGATGTCAAATCAATTTTGCACTGATAAAAGATCTCATGCCTCTCTGAAGGCATTAGATAGGTAATTTTTCCATTCAGTTTTTACCTGGGTAATTTTTGTGGCTGCCATTCTGTGATGATGCAGGTAAATAATTGATTTTCTATTTTTACAGGCTATAGCTACTGTTAATGTTTTTACGAAGAAGTATGGGGCTGACATTCTAAGAAAAAGTATATGAGGCTTATTTTTTACTATAAATACCCTTTTGGAATTGATTCAATATTTATTTATATATACTAAGAGCTACTCCAGGAGCCCTTTCCCCAGGCTATTCACTATTCAATCCACTATGTGAACAGTAATCGCCCTTAATGAACAGTAACTGCCTTTTGCATCTCTACCGTTGCACTTGAATAGCCTTGGCAATAGGTAATAAAATATTAGTTTTTTTATCTATAAAATAATACAAAATAATTTTTAATTTTTTTCCTTTTTCCTATTCCTTTTCCTTTTCATTTTTTTTAGAGAACACTCCCTTTTCATTTTTTTTCCAGAACTCTTCCTTTTCATTTTTTTTCCAGAACACTCTCCCTTTTCTTATTCTCTCTCTCTCTCTCTCTCTCTCTCTCTCTCTCTCTCATATGAATAAAAAAATGGACCGACGCCAAGGCATAAGCTTAGATTCCAATCCATATATCCTTCATTTTCCTTTTCATCCTTCCTCTTCTTCGAAACCGAAGCAAATCAAACCAACAAACTCTGAAATCTCAATCCCCTGGATGAGAGGAATTCGAATATATCCTTGCATGCATCATCACAGCACCATTTGGGTGATCCACCATTGAAGCCGAGAGCTTCAAGCTTCCATTGCTCAAACCCAGATGAGGTTATTGCCCTACTTCAATTGCTTGAGTTATTCTCTTGTTTTTTTATATGTTTCGAGTTGAAACCCTTGGGTTTAGTCTCTGCCATTTGTTTGTGGGTGTATCATCAACCTCGACGACGAACTCCGGCGAGAGCCGTTGAGTTCGAAGCCTGGGTTTTCATTTTTTTTAAATTTTGTATTAATTTTGTATTTTGTATTAATATTTTTGTATTTTTATTAATTTTATATTGTGGCTGATGTCAGGGACGTCAACCCACGTCACATCCCCTTTGGGCGCTCGGGCCGGCACGAATCCACGGGTCTGGCGCTCGGTCCTGCTTGGGCTCCCTCGTCAGCCAACGCTGGACTTCTTCCCTCGGGCAATCAAGTCCTGTTCCGCAGCCTGTCCCTCGAGCACGAGCTCCCGCTGGAGCTGCTCTAAAGCCCAGTTGATTAGTACTGTTCATCATGTGAGAGCGTGCACTATTCACCAACAGTGAAAGGGCGGGAATGCCCTTGGTTTTTTCTTTGGTTTCCGTACTGTTCACAATTTGCTACAGTAAGAAGTCTGTTTTGTCCTTCCCTGCCTCGCGTCTCTCATCAGCTTTGGATAAGGTTTGTATTGGACAAAAAAATAAGATTAAAAAAATGTTAGGAGATAAACACAAGCACATGTTTTCTGACATCGAAAAGGATAACAAATAATAAAAAAATTGGTTTAGAGAGAAAAAAAATGATTAGAACATATGAAAAGTGTGTTTGGTTTTTGCTATCTAATATTTTCTCCACCCCTGAGACTCCCCATCTCCCAACATTGTCACTCTCTCTCATCCCTCACTGCTCTCTGCCTCTCCCATCTGTCCCCCTCTCTCTCTCCCTCACCCCTCACCCCTCACCCCTCACCCTGTTTTTCCGCCTGCCTTTCTTTCTCTCTCAAGCTTTCGTTTTCTCCGTTTTCGATTTTCTCATCTTTCTCATTTTTCTTAGCCAAATCATCTGTGCAAATTTTTTGCGTTTAAAACGCTTTGAAAAATAAATAGTTGCTGCATCTTGCGTTTAAAACCCGAGTCAGTACCCATTTTTTTGGTGTTATTCTCTGTTTTTGTCTGCGATCCCTGTAAGTCTCTCTCACTCTAGAGGTACCCGCTGGATTTCATTTGCCGTTGCCGATCTGCAGGTAAAGCTTCAGTTTCCATATTAAGGTTCTATTTATCTTCATTTCTGAATGACTTTTTTTTTGGTAGTTTTCCATGTTGGGGTGGGATTTGTGAATGACTTTTTTTCTTTTCTTTTCTTATTCTGGGTATTTTCTTTATATCATTAGATCCGTTGTCTGGGTCGATGATTTGTTTGTGTTTTTCGTGTCAGAACGCGTTGCTCTACGTTTTTGGGAATTTAGTTTTTGTAATGTTGGGTGTTTTGTTTATATCCTTAGATATGTTGTTTGGTTGTATGATCTGCTTCTGTATTTTGTTTCAGGTCACTTTGATCTTCATTTTTTGGGGAATCTGTGTACAAGCTTGGAAGCCGTTAATATGCTCAAGGTAAATAATTTTGGTTTTTTCCTTTGAGCCTTTTCTGCCACAAATTTTATTTTTTAATATTGTGAAGGTTGTGTGTTCTATAGTGTGAAAGTCGAATCTGTGGGATTTATTTATTTTTTAATTTTGGTGTCTTTGTTGTGTTGTTTTACGGTTTTGGATGGTGACTGTCTACAGCTTTTCATATGGGTTTTTTAAATTACAGGAAATTTGGTCTTCCTAAGATTTAATTGTTGTTAATTTTACGGTTTAATTGTTTTCCACTAATATGATTGAATGGTAAATTAGTTGTATATATATTCAAAACAAAAAAAATCTGAATCTATCGCTCTCGAACTCGCCTCACCCACAAATTTGGCGTTGACCGTTATTTCTCCTCCTTGGCTTCTGTTTCTGTCTCTGACCCTTTCAACTTCAATTGAGCTTGAGTAAGCATTCCACGCTTCCCTTCTTTTACGCCCAAGGAATTTGCATTTTCATTGTTTGATGTAGGAGACACCATTTTTTTCCTGTCGACTTTGTTTCTTCTGAAACTTAATGGTTCTGATTTCAATCCTCTTGCAGAAGATTGAGAAACAGAAAGTTGGAGGACTGGATGATCACGTATTAACCCATTTTAAAAGAAAAGGTAAACCATGAAAATCTCAAAGTGATATCCCATGACCTACAAGTATTTTCTTATCGATCAGATCATTATTGGAAGCCTACTTGGAATCTCCATCCCTTGGAAGGTAATTCTTTAGTTGTAATAAATTTTTGTGAATTATTTGATATGGGCTTTGTTTATTTGTGGAGTTAGATACTAATTTATTGATTTTTTTTTATTGTTGATTTAGGAATTGATTGATAGGTTTGGTTTCTGGATTCTCTTTCTTTGTTGAATTTTTTATGTGGGTTTTGTTTATTGATTGCAGAGTTGTATTAATTTGCATTTGATTGGAAGGGTTGCAGAGATTTGATTCAAATTGGTGGATTTGGGTAAGAAAGAAACCTAAATCTTTTCTTTCGGTTTTAAGAGCTGAATGGACATGCTCTGTTTGAAATAAGCGTTTAGATTTACAAATTTTTTTTAACATGCATGCTTCAATGGTAGAATAGAATGGACAGAACATGTACAGTGGCTAGCTTTTAGATCTTCATTTTCAGTTAAATAGTTATTTTCTTATATATCTTAATGGTAGAAGAGAATGTATATATCTCATTGGTTGTAATGGTAGAAGAGAACTGACATATACCATCGGCTATAATTTATATACACAAGATTTTCTATCATCCTTTTGAACGTTTTGCAAGAGAATGAATGTATAGCAGAATGTATAGTTGTAGTGGAGGGTCAACTTTAATGATTGTTAATCCCATTGGCTATATTATCTGGTAGAAACACTATCAAATTGTACATGCAGAGTCTGTTGCTGTAGGAGGAGGTTGGAAAGGCATTCCTTAGCAAAATTGTTTGTATAATTGGGCATATACATGAACCTTTTTTTAATATAGCCTTTTGTCGAATGAGCTTTCTAATTTATGATGGCTGCCTTTAGAGTTAGATTGGTTTGGTTAGCTATTCTCAGAGCTATGACAGCAATATGCATCAGTTGCGAGGAAATCTGCTCTTCTTTAACATTTCATGCTTTATGGTCTTTGTACTTTGGTTGATAACTCTTCACAACTTTTGTCCTTCTCTTTAGTTTTCTTCAGAGATAGTGTCCGCGTTAGTGTAATTAGAGTTAATCATCTGATACCAACAAGCTAAAATTCTATGTTTGGATTGTGTAAGAGTCACTCAGTTCTGTGAATGCTGTATTTACTGGTTTTGTACTGCGATGATTGGTTGATATCCCTGTTCGTTTCAGTGGCTCTGTTTTCTTTTGTAAATGAGTATATTGTATGTAAAAAAATTTCTAACGTTTTCAATGTAAATTTTAGTAATATTCTATGACACAATCTTTCATACAATTTTTAATCCCACAAAGTCATAGTACTTGACATTGGCAGGTTCTTGAACTGTTTTCCCATTTCATTTAGTTATACTTCTGACCATCAATTTTGGAGTTGATTTTTTTATTTAGATGGGTGATTGAAAAAGCAAGTTTTTATATTCAGAATGACTCACAATTTGCTATGAACTAAATGAGTTTTTCTTTATACAGGTCAACATGACTGTGAACATATTAGTAGAGTCATTGCATACATGGAATACAAGGAGGTTTGCAATTGAGCTTTGGTTTTAGTGACTTCTTAAATTTGGTCATGACTAACCCCTTTTTTTTAACTCTACTTAAATGGTTTTCGGGGAACCAGTCATTTGTGTTGTTTCTTCTCTCAACTCTTTGCTTTTAGTTGTCCTGTTGGAGTCTGGATCTTGATTCAATTGATTGTTGTAATCTAAACTATTGGTAGTGATCATTTTATTTAATTTATCATATTATTGAAAGAATCACTTAGTACAATCAGGTTTAAAAAAAAACTTAATATCATTACCGTTTTGGATTGTGTAGTGTTGAATATTAGTTGTTGATTCCGCTGTGCATTGTGATCAAATCCTATCACGTTCTCCGTTACAGTTTGTTTGTTGAGAATATGGATCTTGATTGAATTGATTGTTTTAATCTAGACCATTTGATACAATTTCCAATCCCGCAGCAACGCGTGGGCATAAATCTCTAGTATGTACTATAGCAATATAGAACTTTGCGTTCTTTTGCAGTGATCGATGAACAGCAGCATGAGTCGTTGCCACAACACGAGACCCAGCTTTTGACTGTCCACTGGCATCTCTCCAAAGGTTTGTGTACTGCCTTATGTGGAATTGAGATGTTATAACTTTGAATATTTATCATACATGACAAAAGGGAGTGTCATCTATCTACAAAATATGAAATCGTCCGTTATAATTTTGGGCATATGATTTTCTTTTTTTTTTCGTTTCAGAACACATTGTTCTTCATTTTTTGTAATTTAGTTTTTATAATTTTGGGTATTTTGTTTATATCATTAGATCTTTCGGTTGTATAATTTGCTTTTATTTTTTTATTTCAGGTCACTATGCTCTTCGTTTTTTTGGGGCTTTTGTTTACATCTTTCAAAGCCCTTTATGCTCAAGGTAAATAATTTTGGATTTTTCCTTTGAGCCTTTTCTCCAACAATTTTTTTTTTTAATATCGTGAAAGTTGTGTGTTTCTATACTGTGAAAGTTGAATATGTGGAAATTTATTTATTTTTTACTTTTGGTGTCTTTATTCTGTTCTTTTATGGTTTTGGATGGTGTTGGATTGAAAAGCTTTTTTTATAAAACTTTTATTGAAAGTGTTTTATCCATTTTTACAATTACTCTCATAAATTGTGCCTGATTTGTGGTTCGATGGGATCGAGGTGATGGGGACGATTTGTGAGGTTGTAGCCACAAGATATAGGGCATATGCGTGGGGTTTAGGGGTTTCACAGGGGGAGGGTTACAGAGGGAGAGGGTGCACGCGTGAATTGCGGAGGGAGAGGGAGAAGGAGGGGGAGTAGGGTTGCTATATTCAAGTTATCTTTTTTATTTTTACTTGAATTTGATTTGATTTATTTATTTATTTATTTTATGACTGGTTGAGAATGTGAAAGCTCTATTGGAGGTGGAGGTGAGAAGTTTAATTTAATTCATGATTTATTGTTGTTTTTTTTATAAACTTTATTTTTATGGGATTGTGCTGTTTTTGGGGAAAACAATATTAAATTGAAGTAAAGTTTAGATATTTCTGTAATTGGGATTTAGAGTAAGAGACGAAGAACTGGGTGGACTAGGGTTGCTTTATTCAAGTTCTCTTTTTTATTTTTACTTGAATTTGATTTGATTTTTTTTATGACAGGTTGAGAATGTGAAAGCTATGTTGGAGGTGGAGGTGAGAAGTTTAATTTAATTCATGATTTATTGTTGTTTTTTTTAAACTTTATTTTTATGGGATTGTGCTGTTTTTGGGGAAAACAATATTAAATTGAAGTAAAGTTTAGATTTTTTTGTAATTGGAATTTAGAGTAAGAGATGAAGAACTGGGTGTGATTGCAAAATAAAAAATTTAGAAATTTTTTTGGTTTGAAAACTAATTTTAAATTTAGTTAGCTGATTAATTAATAGAGAAATGTATATTGAATGTGTGATGTTTTTCGATGCGTATGAGCAGACACGGGTACTACTTCAGCAGCAGAAGTTGCTATGTGAGGGTAGGGAGATGAGGAATTCTGAGATGCTGAGTGCTCTTGGTGTCAAAGATGAAGATTGGATAATGATCGTATCTAATGTCGCCTCGAGGTATACTTGATGTTTTACTTTATATGCAATTCACCGTATGATGTTCCTATCATCATACGTCATTCATTAGAAATGGGGTGGTGAGTTTCTCAATACAGTTTTAATTTTTGTGCGAATAATGTTCGTAAAAAGTGTGTTTTTGTTTAGTTCATTGCTGATTCTTATTCTTTGATTTAGTTCACCATTCGTGCTTTTAAAGATAAGAAGTGCAATGCTCTCTCAGATGTTAGTTTTGGGTGACAATTGAAAGATACGAGAATAAACGAAAATACCAACCAATTGAAAGGATAAATTCAATAGAAAATATTTGATTCACCAATTATTATAGTTTGAGCTCTTTGCATTAAATGTCCTGTTTTGAAATTTGATGTTTTAAGATGTCATGAACAAATTGTTGCTGGTTGGGTTTTGTGTTGCAAATTTACTTGAGATCGTCTCTTGATATCCCATTTATGCTTCCCATGCTTCCTTCTGCATAAGGGTCAGCCTTGGACATCCATTTTGAGGAGACTCATATGCTTCCTCTACCTTATAGCAGGCTGTGCTAATTGTTGTGTTCTTTGAAATTAGAAGAGAAAAAGATGAAAAAGAAGCCTCATGAATGTGGGAGAAGAATAAGAAAATGCAGTTGTGTTTTTATTCCAACTCATTCAGTGTCCAATATTTTATTACTTCCCGTTTGGTGAAATTCATTGGTCGTGTCATGTTCGTTTATTTTTTATCAATCAATCTGTTTGGTGCAGTTCAAATATTCAACTGTTTTTCCTTTCCCTTTTGACGCAGGTGCGTTGATTGTGGGAGTTTTGGGAAGAGTTCCCAAGCTCATTCTGCAAATTAAAGGATTCACAGACGCGACCAACAGAAAAAGGTTAATTGAACCACTCACTGTTTGATCTTACTCCCTATTTGTTATCTGTTTTTTTGTTTTTTTGTCTTTTTGTTTTTAAATTTTAAACTCCATATACTTAATGTAATCCACAGTCAAGAGAACGGTAAGCAATTTAAACTTTTTGGGTTATTGAAATCAGAGTTTTGAATTACAGTTTCTGTTTAGATGCTCGGAGAGATAGGAAACTGCAATTTACTTTTGGATATGCTCTATAAGAAACTGCAGTTTACATTTGGATTTAATTCATCGCTGATGGTATGTTGTGATAGGGTTTTGTAATTTTTAGTATTCTTCAATTCTTTTTAATCTGCAAAATCAAATTACCCATAGAATTTATGACACACAATCAGTTTCTTTTCAGATGGGTTGAAATTATATTGATAGTTATAAAGCTCCTTTTTATAGTTAGGTTGAAAATCATATTAATAGATTCTTTATTTCGTTGGTCCAATCTGTAACAGGTGGGATTATTTTGTTTGATGTTTGAATCAAAATTTGATATTTTTTTTGTGTGAAATTACAACGGAATTGCAAAATTGTCAGGTATATCTTAGATTATTGGTTGCATATTCACCTTCACACAACTATGATATTGCCTCTTGACTCGATGAATTTTGATAATTTTCAGGATCTGCGGTTGCAATGCTTTTGATGCATGCAATAAGTAGGAAGCTACTACTCTTATGGAGCTTCTTTGGCATGTAAGTTCAAATTGCATATCATTTTTCATTTTTTTGTTCACAGAATTCATTATCTTGCTATCTTGGTAATTAGCAGTGTTTGACAGTTGGTGAAGTGTATGAACAAATGTGTGGAAGTTTGAATTGTATAGATAAAAGTGAATTTTAACAACTCTAACTTGGATTTCTTATTAATTTGATAGGTCTTTCTTTCATTTGTGTTTGACTATTTTATTTTTTTGGGTATATAAGTACAACTATTGATCAAAAGCCACAGAAATTACCTAGCAGCCGAGAAACTGTTTTTGTAAGAACATAATATGATGTAAAACTCAAATTTTGGGCACTTAAGTATACGTTTCATGAAAATTCAATTGGATTTGTTCCAGTCTCCAAGAATTTTTCTTTGTTTGGTTACCAATTAATTTATGCGGCAGGAATTTAGTTTTTGCTTTTCTGCCTATGTATATATGATTTGAAATGGACAGTTCAAGTTGCTATATATAAATTTGTAGTCGAAGAGTTCGAAGGAGAGGTGAATTAGAAACAATGGGGGGGAGAGTGATGGAGTTGAGGTAGTTGAGAGTTAACAGGGAGAGTGATGTCCCTGGTATTGCGAGATCATTGAGACTCTGGTTTGAGACTAACTATCTAGTTGATTAATCACTAATGTGATGTATTTAAAGTTTAACTTTTCTTTAAATCATTTTCCTTCTGTTTTTTCATTGGATTCGTTACATTTTTTCTACTTAATTTATCTTAAGAATGTTTGCATCAGAATAATTAACTCTAAATATGTTAATTTGTCCCATTTTCTAAAAAAAAATTTGCAATGTGAATGGAGGTTATTCTCAATCTTCAGATGGTGATTATTTGATAACTTCTCCAAACGTGGCTACTCAGCCTTTGAAATACAGAGCTGAGGATGAGAGGAGGTAGATGAGCTAGAATCGGGTTTGTACAATTCTAAATTATTTGTTTAGTTACCGATAAAAGATATGGTTGCCTAATCCAGTTTTGTATTTTCAACTTCTTAATCATTTTCCTTTGATCGCACTTTGTTTTGATATGTGAATGAACTATATAACTTCAAGGAAAACTAAGGAAAACTAATGAAAATGATTTGAAAACTGAGTTTTAACGATAAAGACAAAATAAAGGGTAAAGGGAATAGTATTAGGATTGACTTTTTAGTGTAAAAATGTGATTTTTCGTTAAAGTTTCCTATACTTTATTTTTATCTTAGGTCATAGTGTAACATTTAACAATTGAATTTGTAAGACTGTTTAGCAATTTTTTCAAAAACTAACTATTCTTGCTAGATGCTCAAATGTTGTCTTCTACTTTTGTGATTTGCCTTTTCTGTGTTTTTCTCATGTAGTAGGCTGATCACCTGAGAGTATGAGTATAATACTGATGACGCAATATGATCTACAAATGAATGGTTTCTTATAGCATGCATATCCATACATAGCAAGCAAAGTTTCACTTCATTGGTTCTTAGGTAATACCCCATCTTTTTAGTTACTTTGTGTGGAAATTATTCACGTGTGTCTGTGGATAATACATTCAATGTCCGCAACAAAGCACGCACACATTTTCTAGTTTAAGCTAAGTGCGTTGAGCCCATGTGACATGTTTGAATTTCATGGTAGGAGACAACACGGGACTTTGACAAGTCCATTCAGAAATCGGAATGAGGATTCTTTTTTAATCTTCTTTGTGAAGATTCCATATATCTTTTAATCGTATCCGTTTATCATATATCGTGCTGTCAGAAAGTATTTTAATTTTTTTATTTAAAATTAAATACAAATAATACCTGACAAAAAATGATCATATCATATATGATGAACAGACATGATTGAAGAATTTTCGGAATCCTCACAAAGAGAATTCGGAGAGAATTCTCGTTCCAGAAATTGCATCACAATTTCTGCCAAGACCAAATAGTAAATGTATGCATTTTCATATAACGCATTAATTCACTAATTATTCACGTTTATGGAATACTTTGACAGAAATTGTGATCTTGGTTTTGGCAGTTTTCCGGACGAAAATACTTACAAGTTTCCTTGGAAGACTGACAGACTATTCGATGACAATGATAGTTGACAGTGCATTTTTTAACCCAAAAGACAAAGACACCAACATTGAACGAATTAATAATTTAAAGTTGAAAAGTAAACCGGACATTTTTTTTACATGATTTGTTAACACGACACATAAACATAAAAATAAAGAATTTTGGATCAACACAATAATTAATTAGGTTGTTATTGGATTACACGATAAGAACTTATTAATAATGTATCCTTAACAAGTTTATCCGAGGATGACACGTTGGTAAATCGTTTTGATACGTTAAAAAAAAATTATTTCGATGATTTTAATTTTTTAAATTATTAATAAAATTTAACTATAAAATACAACAACCATAATATATATGTGTGTGTATATATATTTATACATGCTAAAGTCCAGTTGATTGGCACTGTTCATTATGTGAGAGCGTGTACTGTTCACCAACAGTTAAAGAGCGGGAATGCACTTGGTTTCTGCTTTGGTTCCGTACTGTTCACACTTTGCTACAGCAAGAAGTCTGTTTTGTCCTTCCCTGCCTCACGTCTCTCATCTGCTTTGGATAAGGTTTGTAGTGGACAAAAATCTAAGATTAAAAAATGTTAGGAGATAAACACAAGCACATGTTTTCTGACACCGAAAAGGATAAAAAATAATATAAACAAAGAGTTTTGAATGGTGCCCGGCACCATGTGGGAAAAAGAAAGAAAAATAATATAAAAAATAAAAGTTTTGAATGGGTTACTGACAAGAAGAGAAGAAAAAATAAACAAAGTGTTTTGAATGGTGGACGGCACAAGTGTTTTGAATGGTAGTAGGCATTGCCTACTTGGCATGGCTACTTGCCTACTTGGCATGCAATTGGCAACCTCCTGTAAGTGACCTATATATGGTTCACAAATCCTCCATTGCAATTTGCATTTGTGTTCTTATTTCAACGTTATACTTTTTAGGAAATCTGAGAGAGAGGTGGAAGCATGAATCCTTCTCTGTATGAAGCAGCTGCAACTGGTGATGTTGGCTTCTTGGAAGGACTTCTAACAGCTGATCTCTCTCAGAAAACACCTAAAGAGAACAATATTCTTCACATTGCAGCTGAATTCAAGCAAATAAACTTCTTCAAAAAAGTGAAAAAAATTCCCGAATCTCCCCGGTTTTGGGCCACCAACAAGAATGGCGAAACTCCTCTACATGTTGCCGCGAGAGTAGGTTGCGGTGAAGTAGTAACGTTCCTCATTGAGCACATAAAAGCGGAACCTATGGAAGTGGTTGATCTTGATCCAGAAAAGGAACCAACTGACGGTGAAGCTTACAAAAAGCTACTCCGAATGCCTAATTTGGAAATGGATACAGCACTGCATGTTGCTGTTCGATACAATCATGCTGGAGTAGCGAAGATTTTGCTGAGTGCTGATCCTGAATTGTGTTGTTCATTTTACAGCACCAAGGAGTCACCCCTGTTCCTAGCTGTTAGAGCCGGGTCTACCAGCATTGCTGATTATATTTTAAAAAAGACTCCGGATCATGAATCTCTTTCTTTTCAGGGAACAAATGGTGTGACCGCTTTGCACGCAGCAGCCACTCGTATACCCTTCGCCAAGAAAGGTAATTAACTTCATGACATTGCTTGGTACTACCGTACTAGACCCTTCTTATGCACGGAATCCCATCAACATATAACTGTATAATCAACTTAGTTATCGAGTATGACATATTGACAGTCGATAATATATCCTTAATGATTGAGATATGCATCTCAGTCCAGCTACCGTTGCGCAAGATCCTTCTTAAGGGACTCGTTACTTGGTATGCCTTATTTTCATATATATACTTGATTCCCGCAACACAATTTCTAATTTTTCTATACCAACATTTTAGGAATTGTGCAATCTATGGTTACCAAAAATCCTGGGATGGTCGAAGTTCGTGATGAAATAGGGTGGACTCCATTACACTACGCATCACTGAGAGGGAACCTTAAAGCAGCTCAACTACTGATTCAAAATTGCAAAACTTTCAAATTTGCTTGTTACATCAAAGACGAGCTTGGCATGTCAGCTCTCCACGTCGCGGCATATGCAGGGCACACCCAAATAATTGAAGAGTTGATCGGACGTTGTCCTGATATTTGTGATTGTGTCAATCACAAGGGCCAAACAGCTCTACATGCAGCAGTTTTAGGCGAAAAGATAAATGTTGTGAAGTGTACGTTTTGAAGACGCCTAGGCTTGCGAGACTTATAAACGAAGCAGATAATGATGGAAACACTCCTTGGCATCTAGCTGCTATTCATGAAAATAGTGAAATCGTTGCTATTTTAAGGAGAGACAGGAGGTTGAACAGAACTGCTATCAATAAAGAATTTTTGCAAGTTAGCGACATTTTGCTCGCCGAGAACACGGGAAGAATCTTTTATTTATTTCCCTTGGATTTCAACTTTGAACTCTCTATTTTATTTTCTTATATTGGATAGAATCAAACGCAGAACATATCTAAATCCAAATTCGTTACCTTATTGTTCTTAAGTCCTGTATATGTTTACTAAAAGTGTAGTACTTTATTTATGTTTTAGGAAATCGTAAAAAGTCGCAATGTTTTGAACTGCCTGGCAAGAGACGTTGTCGTTACCGTGCCATATTATCAACAAAAAATCAAGCAGGAGTTCAAGAAATTTGGATCCCAAGGGGAAAGCAGTACGTCTGAGACACCGGTCAATACTAAAAATACGAGAGAAAACTTGCAGGCTTATTTGGCTCAGACCTTCAATAGAAATGATTCGAAACTTCTGGTAGCGACGGTCATTGCAACCGTTACATTTTCGGCCGTTTTGAACCCGCCTGGAGGGTTTACAGACGATGGAACACCAGTTTTAACAAAAAAAGGAGCTTACAAAGTATTTATGTTTTTTAACACGCTTTGCTTCGCTCTCTCAGTGTCGGCGATATTTAACGAATACAGTCCTATATCTGTCCTGTCAACCCATCTACCCACACCTACGAGTCTTATTAGTTATTCCATTGCTGGCATGTTGGCGGCATTTTATGCAGCCCTGATAGCAGTGGAACCCATGCGGCCCAGGCAAAGTATGGTTAACTATTTTTTGTTTGGCAACGATGGTACCGTTGTTGCTTCTCTGCTCTCTCGTATTGGTGCCGTAATTGCATGCGTAGTAGTTGGCATCCCTATTTTTAACTCTCTAAGTCAAATACTCAACGGGGAAACAAGGATCCACGACCTCAAGAAGCACATAATTTAAAAATAATTTACATGGCCTAGAATGTTGGTGTATGACAAGTCAGAAAGGGAAAAACAATCTTGTCCCTCAAGTATAGGAGGGATTCTAGGCCATGTAAAATCGTGGGTTGTTGTTTTTTTTTTCCTATTTCATTGTAAGGCTATTTAACAGTCATTAGTGTTATTTCAATTCAATAAGAATTCTCCCAATTTACAAGTGTAATCAGACTTTGCGTTTACAAGAGCTCTTTTCCATCCTTTTTTTATTCTAACATTTAGTATCAGAGCCCCATCACGGGGCTTGATCAAAGCCTGCAACATAGTTACTAGCATGAAGGAACAAAATACATGGCATACGAGAGTAGCTTCGTGCAACCTGCCATTTCGAGGTTTGATGGACACGCCCCAACCCAAATATCCAAATGACACCTGCATGACACGTGCTGACCGACACTCGAGCATGACGAAAGTCATAATTATATGAATATGCATGAACACAAGGAAGCATGTAATCGAAAAGTCAAAAGAGAAACAATAATCATAAAGAATATACAAACGCTAAAGAAATGATAATAATATAACGTTAGTCATAATATAAGGAGAATATCCAACTGTCAACAATTCGAAACAAAGGATGCATGAATATGTCCAGAGCATACTACTAAACAATAGTGCTAGCGAAATGAAGGACATAAAGTTACAATTATACATAAAAAGGTCATACGTAGTGAGGAGAAAACAAGATCACTAGAAGGGAAATGCCTCGATGCTCGAGTCGTATTCCTCGTCACTAGGTCCTGAAGGGGGCACAAAAACAAAAGGTGAGTGGACCAGAGTTTATAATAATAGTAATAATAAGAAAACCGTTTTCTTTTTGCACATAGTAACCCCCCGTTTTGAAAACAATATAATAATACGTAATAGGTTTTTCCCGAAACTCTACATGCCATGAAAACGTTCATAGATAATAAAATCATATCTAAAAGTGGTATTGAAATCGCCCAAAGACAAAACTAAAAGAGCTCGTAAATCAAAACACTAATGTACTTATATAGGGGCATCGTAGTTGCTCGAATGCATATCCATCACCTGAGGGTGAAGTTGTACGACACTGGGTTACGCCAGTGAAGAAACATGGTAGGTCCCATCACTCGAAGGTGAAGCTGTCCGACACTGGTTTCGCCAGTGAAGTTGGGAGTATGTTGTAAATATCTCACTACTCCTCCATTGTGTCCTATGGCCAAAAACGTATACATACTCGTGTTGTGTGTATATGTTGTATGATTACCCACTAATTAAGCACATAAAATGTAATTCAAAATCTCATACCAAAGCTTAGGGCTCAAAACATCATCATCAGAAATCATAAGCATTTCCATAAACATGATTTCCATAAGCATAAAATTTCATAAACCTTAAACTGATAAATCGTAAATACTTCAAAAAACAAATTAAATAAATCATAAATTCTTTGTAAAACATAAATTTAGAAATTCATAAACTTATCATAAAACATAATTAATTCATGAAATGTAGAATTATAAAAATATGCCTTCCATGAATGCAAGCCTAATATTTTTATAAAAACATGCAATTTGAGAAGGGGTCCACTCACAAATATTCTGCTACCGAAAAGCCATTCGAACTAGGAAGGACGGGATCACTACCAACCAATGCACCTAAACACAATTAGGGACCATTCGTTAACACTCTACTAAAATGACGAACTTTGGTAAAACGAATGGCAGATTCAAATTTGCCATGTCAAAAAACCAAAGGAAAGACCTCGGGTTTCCCTACTCACCATCGCATGCGCCGCCACGGGGTGGTGGCCCGACTCACCACGCGCTAAGTTGGGTTACCGGAAAGTTGGCCGGAAAAATCACTGGCGCCGCCATCCACAGTACCCCCAATGGAGGCCCGTGTGCTTCATGAGCCCACGAGTATGCTATACTCGCCTCATGTCACATCCCGACCAGGGCCCCTACCACATCTCGGACCCTGCCTTCGCCGTAGTACGATATTGTCCGCTTTGGGCCCCGACCACGCCCTTATAGTTTTGTTTCTGGGAATTCACATGAGAACTTCCCAGTGGGTCACCCATCATGGGAATGCTCTCACGCAAACTCGCTTAACTTCAGAGTTCCGATAGAACCCGAAGTTAGTAAGTTCCCAAAAGGCCTCGTGCTAATTAGAGGTGGGAATGTACATATAAGGCATAGAGGATTCACTCCCCTGAGCGATGTGGGATCTCACAATCTACCCCCCTTAGGGGCCCGACGTCCTTGTTGGCACCCTTCCGGCCAGGGATTGGCTTTGATACCAAATTTTCACATCCCGACCTAGGCCTCCACCACATCTCGGGCCTCACCTCCGCCGTAGGATGATATTGTTTGCTTTGGGCCCCGACCACGCCCTCACGGTTTTTTTTTTGGGAACTCGCACGAGAACTTCCCAGTAGGTCACCCATCATGGGAATGCTCTCGCACGAACTAACTTAACTTCGAAGTTCCGATAGAACCCGAAGCCAGTGAGCTCCCAAAAGGTCTCTTGCTAATTAGAGGTGGGAATGTAAATATAAGGCATAGAGGATCTACTCCCCTGGGCGATGTGGGATCTCACAATCCACCCCCTTTAGGGGCCTGACATCCTCGTCGGCACCCTTCCGCCCAGGAATTAGCTTTGATACCAAATTTTCACATCCTGACCCGGGCCCTCACCACATCCCGGGCCCCGCCTCCGCCGTAGCACGATATTGTTTGCTTTGGGCCTCGACCACACCCTCACATTTTTGTTTTTGGGAACTCACATGAGAACTTCCCAGTGGGTCACCCATCATAGGAATGCTTTTGCGCGAACTCGCTTTACTTTGGAGTTCCGATGGAACCCAAAACCAATGAACTCCCAAAAGGCCTCGTGCTAATTAGAGGTGGGAATGTACATATAAGGCATAGATGATCCACTCCCTTGGGCAATGTGGGATCTCACAATTTCTGCAATTTTTGTAGGTTTCTCATTTGACTCCCAGAGCTAATTCCGAGCTCGATACAACCACAAATCAAGTGATTCAAGATCCTATGTAAAGTTAGAAATGTAGGGAAGAGATCTATACCCTTTCGAGACCCAATGATGATAGGAGCTAGCTTGAAAAATGGCTTGAAAGTGGCCAAACAGTCACGGACTCCCACTTTCCCGAATATGGAAAAAAATTCCCGTAGCAGTTTTTGTGATTAAACCATTCACCAAAGTTATTATTTATCGTCAAACAAGTACTTTAGACCACGAGGGAGGAAGATCGAAGAAGTTCATGGCTTACCTTCGCCGAAAACAGCGATAACTCGCTAAAGAAAGGGTTGCACAGTAAAGGCACTACTGTGCAAAGGAAAAGAATAAGGAAGAGAGAGGGATCTCGTCCAAGCCTAGGATTTGAGATGAAGATTGTTAGGTGGTGGTGCTTGAAGAAGGATACCGCGAAGGATATATGAGATTCTTTGAAGCAGAAATATCAAGGAACGACATGTGTCAAGCGTGCCCAATTGCAAGCTCTTTGTAAAGAGTTTGAAGTGATACACATAAACGCTGGGGAATAAGTCAATGACTACTTTGGAAGAACTCTCATCATAGCTAATAAAATAAGGTTCACAAAGAGAAAATGGTGATCATTGAAAAGATCTTGAGGTCTATGACTTCAAAATATGATTATGTTGTGTGTTTGATTGAGGAATCGAATGAACCTTGTCTATAGACGAGCTTCAGAGTAGCCTGTTGGTGCATGAACAAAGAATCAGCCGGATGAACAAGCACTGCAAGTCACTTATGGAGCTCAACAAGGAGGAAAATGTGGAGGTCAAAGTACTTATCGTGGAAGAGGAAGAGAAGAGGTAAAGGTAGATTTGGGTTTGAGAAATCTACCTTAGAATCTATAATTGTCATGAGTTAGGTGATCGGATCATATTTATATATATTTTTACTTCGAATTCACTCGTCTTTTCTTAGTTAGTTCCTTACATTTTTGAGCTATTTACGTTATTTTTGTGTTTATAGGATTTGTTATGCAAAGAAAATAAAAATAGCACAAATGAGTTTTAAATAATAAATTCGTCGAAAATTGCTTTAGTCGTTCTCATTCTGTCATGGATTATTGGTAGAATTATGTCACGGCATAAACAAAAGAAATGGGGAGAGTCGGTCAAAGAGGGAGCAAGAGAGCATCATGATTTATATTTTTTTTTACCTCGTTGACTCCCATATTCTTCACTTCTGAAAACAACAGGAAGCTGCTTTGCAGCTG